CATTTAGCGATCTGATCTTGATACAAACCCTAGGTACTTAAGTAGAGATCATAACCAACACCCAGAAACTCTTGCAGTGATATTTTCCCCTTTACAAGCAAGAATGGTAAAAAAAATAATCACCTTTCTACTGCAGTGTTAGCAAAAAATGAATGACATATAATGTCGGCGAATCATTTTGTTTGGTAGGAGTAAGGTCTGCGTAAACTTACCCTCCCCGAATCCCACTTCTGGGATTACATTAGGTTGTTATGGGGAATTCTGTTTGGTTATAGTTTTTGCAAATAATATTTTGTTATTGGATGTGTAAATAGTGAAAAACACTGTTTTGGTTGTTTGTAGTTGTTATTGAAATTTCCGATGGTCAAATGGAAAAAAAGTGAAAAATTCTTTAATGGCCAAAACACTCCCTGTTTGGCACTATATTTGGGCTTCTCTTCCTTAACCTCTTTTCGGGAATGATAGTTATGTTTGCTACTATTACTGCAAAGCAAATGGTTCTTACATCGTTGCATTGAATATAGAGTTTATACACATTGGTTCTTATAAAGTCATATTGTTTAAGCATTGAATTTTGTATATAATGTTCATTTCTTTGTTGCAAAACTTAGATGACCTGGTATGTTAGGCAAAAGACTATGTCTTCAATAGTGTATTAACTGTCTATATTTAGTTGTCTCTTTAAGATGGCATGCCCTTTATTGGGCAGAATTTGAATTGCATATAGAGTTTATACACATTAATTCTTATAAAGTCATGTTATTTAAGCTTTGATTTTTGTATATAATGTTCATTTCGTTGTTGCAAAACTAGATGACCTGGTATATTAGGCAACAGCCTATGTAACTGTCTATATTTAGTTGCCCTCTTGAAGATGGCATGCCCTTTATTGGGCAGAATTTTAACTGCATATAGAGTTTATACACATTGGTTCTTATAAAGTCATGTTGTTTAATCTTTGCTTTTTGTGTATACTGTTCATTTATTTGTTGCAAAACTAGATGACCTGGAAGTTTTAATAGTGCAAACTCCCGTACATTTCTACTTTTGTCTCCTACCAGGACTGCTAATATGGACGCAAATGTACAGGCTGCTTCTAAGGACCCAAAGGATTTAAAACAAACCCCCGCCCAATCCAGGTACACATTCATCCATTTTCTACTCACCCGTTACGCCTGCGTTAGCATTACTCTGTACAGTGGTGCCTCCTCCTGTGTTTTATATTTTCATCCCCTATTTTTTTAAAATCAGTTTACTAACAAATTACATTTCATTATTTTTTCCCCTTGATTTTTTAATAAGCAAACTCCTGTACTATTCTACTTTGTCTCCTCCCAGGACTGCTTCCCTGGACGCAAATGTACACGCTGCTTCTATGGACACAAAGGATTTAAAACAAACCCCCACCCAATTCAAGTATACATTCATACATTTTCCACTCACCCGTAACGCATGTACTATAGCTGTTGAGTTGTTTCTGACAGAGGATGGTCAGGTTGTCTGGCATTTTCCACACGTATTTGATATATTTTTGTTTTATAGAAGGAACTATATCAGTTTGTGTATTTACAGATATCTTCAAAAGCATTCATATTTTTTAAAACTTAACATGTTTGTAATTGTTAACTTCTTGCAGATTTTACTAAATGAAGTAGCTCTGAGACCTCATAATAGTGGGCATCACACCATTGAGGCTTGCTTCACTTCACAATATGAGCAGCATTTGCGGGCTGTCGTTGGCCTTCCACTTGGTGATCCATCAATGAAAACTCCTGCTGCAGTCATGTATAACATATTGGGGGAAGACGATGTAAGCTTCTTTAGTAATTTTTCTTCCCCACAATTTTGATGAGTTTAGTAAATGCTAATTACTGAATTACTGTTGGAGTTTTTAAGGAAATTTTTTACACATGAGGCATTCTGTCTTTTTCAATATGCATTTTCACATGAATGTGTTGAAGAAACTGTATGAGTAACATGGTTATCTTTCAGTAACGCATGTGCTATACATCATATTTACATCCCCTATTTCATCAAGTTTGTCGATCACCAGGACGCCCGCTATTGACACAAATCAACTGTCTGGTATGGACCCAACGGAACATACAAAAACCCCGGCCACTCCAGGTATACATACATAAGTTTAACCCTTGCATCATTCATTAGATGTCTCACCCTCACACCCTTCCCCCGAATTTAATTCACCCCTTACATCGTAAAGCAGTTTCTCAAATCTATACATACGCAGGCATATAACGAATGCTAAAAGAACTGCATCCACTCCTTCAAATCTAAACCCTCCTACAGAACTGTCAGGGAACACCCACATTATAACTTCTGCTTCTTTATTGTTGGTCACCGTTAATATTGTTTCATTCTTACTTCTTAAACAGAACTACCTCCAAATCCCGTGGAATGGGCATATGCACACCTAGCAAAATTGAACATCAGCTACCTGCGGAGACAACACGCCCACATAAGGGCCTTCATGGATTCCACAAACGTGGAAGAAACATCAGGAACTAATTAACAATGGTTGCGGAACCAATGCCTTATGTTTTAATACATTCTTATCTCCTTTTTACCTTATAACTTTGCTGCCCTGTTACTTCCCAACCCTGCCCTAACCCCCTAACTTAGTTAACATTAGAAGTGTGGTGACAATGTCAATTTATTTTGAACAGCTCACTTCCTATTATTTTTGTACTATGTTACAGCTTGGTTTTTATTATATATATCCTTAAGTAAATATTTTGTTCCTTCATTAACATCATTTTACCAGAACACGCTGTCACAAAGCTCATTACATGCTAATTTAATTTATGTCACAAACTTGTGTACTTCCTCCAACATTATTTAATCAGAATCCGTAGCCCAATTTATTAAATGAAGTATTATTTGATGTAAATGTCAACGTTAACCAGCTATAGAATACGTTGACGAATCATCCTTTGATACCATTCTACTTTTCGTTGCCGTGATCCTTTCAAAGTGCCCATTAGTGCGCGTAACATTCCAAACTTTGTCGGATTAAAAAACTTTCTACAACTGCATCTACAAATTTCTAAGCGCAAAATAGGCTACATAGGGGAATTTGTCTTCAAATAAGTTCTTTGACATTTACGCCATCACATTGCTACCCTTTACCTTCCAATCCCTCGCCCGTACCCCCGAGATTGCTTAGCATTGACAGTGTTGTGGCCCGATAATGTCTAGGTTTGACTTTCTTATGGAAGTATGCTCCTCTGTGCATTTTGTTTATGTATCACTTCTTCTCATAACTTTTAAAAAATTATTTGTTCTGCACCAAATTTATTCTGATTTGAATTAAATGTCTCCATTTTGAGAAACAAGATGGTGGCATTGATTTTACAGATATAATGAAAGAAAGGCAAGTAACAGCACCCAAGCACACACTAACAAGCAGTCAACTGACAGGAAAAAAAGAAAGACTTCATCTCAGGGTGTGATTGGAAATAATGATGAGATATCTACCGAAGTCCTTAACGATCTCAACCCTGGTGATGAAAGAACAGAGATCAGGAATACTTCACCTCCTGATTTCTTCAAGTCAATAGAAACTGAAGAGATTACATCTTTGCGGGAAAGGGTAACCTCAACAAGGAAGATGATGCCTCTTTATCTGAAAACGTATCAGATACCTTCATTAACATCATTTTACCAGTACAAGCAGACTAAATGGTCATTTGATACGCTATATACACTCAAACGTTATACCGAAGAACAACCACTACCGTGTTTCATTTGATTGCCCTCATGAAACTTGCATAACTGTTATGCCTGTTATAATACCCATATCTTTATTACGTAACGAACTTGTATCCCTCATAATTTTATCAGACTACGGTTGGCTAATTATTTAATATAATATTTATTATTTTAAAATTCAACCCAAAATGGCTTTAAAATGTGTTTATGAAACGTCGATACAGATATCTTCCAATCTCGGAATCCAGCAAAACTGTTGCCGTTACCAGCCAACCTTAACTTTACGCTGGCCTGTTAAAGTCCATGTTTGACCCCCAAAAATACCATTTGTTACCGCATCTTAAAACTCCCTACAATTACAATTACCAAATTGCATTCTTACAAAAGGCTACCTGGGCGACTCCAACTTTAAATAAGATCTTCCGCATTTATAAAATGTGTATATAATCAAAGTTCATTAATTTAAAGATTTCAAACAAAAGAGAGTATTAAAAAACGAAGTTTTCAAACTAAATCCCATATTTAAAACTTCATTTTATCCTGTTTGAGGGTAAACCACTAAACTATAGAGAATAAATCCATCATAGTAAATCATAGTAGTGAATTGTTTTTTCCCAACTGTTGACGGCGGCTATTCAGTTAAGTGGCAACACAATTTCATGGCCAATTTTTGTATCACCGAGTTTACCCTCCCTCTACCTGTAATTAGATGTATTTTAAGAGGGAGCGAAAGAATAAAACGTTAACAAATAAACAGGCTTTTACCCCCTAAGTCCAATCAATGCAAAGGACCATGCTTCAGTCTTCTATGTATACCTCATAACTCTATTTTTAGGTCGACAACGTAGCATATCTACGACTAGGCTGGCTTAGTTTGATTCGCTTAATTATATGATCAAACTCAGGGCTATTAAAGCCCGATACGGAATGAAATTCCAACCCACTAATTAAACCTGCAACTAGCCTATTTAATACTACAAACACGGCTCCACGGATTGTGAGAAAAAAAACACTGCTCTTCTCAAAGAATGCCTAGCATCTCTTGCTAAACACGACTTCTGGACATAACGGTTGTTCCAAATTGCGCCTATTCGTAAATGTGCTTCCAAAACAATGCGTCTCTTCCTAACGGTTGTAACCCTCTTTCAAATTCCCTCAATATCTATATAATGCCTTGCAGACTCCAAGACACCCATTATCGATAACTCCTCTCTGCCTTTCTTTAAAAACACACAATTCTTCTTCCTCTAACCTTTAATTGTCACAACCATATGGCCTACTCACTTCTTTCAGATTTGGATACTACAAGGGATGACTGGTTTGTTAAGGTACGAATTTGCCGGATGTGGGAATTTAAAAACTACAAGAGAAGCAATGAGATGATAAGTCTAGACATGATACTTATTGACGAAAAGGTAATACCCCCCTTTCATTTCAACTTTTAACCACATTGTTGTTGGTCAGGTTATTGCGGATGCACTTACCAACTGACATGTAAATGTAACAGGGAACTTTGGTCCATGCGGTAATCTGGAAGAATCAAGTCAACCGGTTTCGTGCTAATTTAGCCGAAGGCTCTGTGATCATTATCAGGAACTTTAAGGTCGCTGAAAGTATGGGTGAATACAGACCCGTACAATCTGATGTTAAAATCACTTTTCTGCGAATAACTGCCATACAAAAAATAAATAGTGATACTGTTAATATCCCTAAATATGGCTTCCAGTTTATTCGGCCAAACATTGTTCGCTCAAGGGTCAATAACAACACCTACCTATCAGGTAAACTTTTTCACTTCAATTATCTAACGCACATTCATCCCCGTATGTACTTAATATTCTCCCTATTGAACTTGTAGATGTGGTTGGATGCATATGTGGAATAGGTGATCTAGAGAGTGTTGGTTCAAAGTGGAAAAAACGAGACCTTCAAATTCTTACTGATCCGTAATTACCAAATCTCATCTGATTATTTCCACTTATATTAAGTAACCCCAAACAGCAACCATAACACTAACATGTTACGTTGTTTGTTTAGCGAGGACAGGTCTGCCACAGCCAAAATAACCCTTTGGGAGGATTACGGGGAAGGATTTTACCCGTACTTATTCCCCCCTGAATCCGGTCCATACATTGTCATTGTTACGGCAACAACAGTGAAGGAATTTAGAGGTAAATACTATTACAGAGCATATCAGTTAAGTGCAGTTTTAACGTTATTAGGTCAACGTGACATGTAAAGTTTATTTTGTAACAGGTGAAATTACTTTTGCCACCACAGCAGCAACCAAAACGTATGTGAATCTGCAAATGGACCACATCACCTCATTGATTCAAAAGTTTGCAACCAAACCCGTTCACATACAAACAATTGAGAGTGGTAATGGAAGTAACATACCTATTGCGGAGGCAATGTTCCAGAACCGGATGACTATTACTGAGTTACTGGATTCGGACTGGAGTTATGACATAGAGGTTAGTACGTTAAGCAACATTCGTACCTTATGAACAATACAATAGATCAACAGGCTTTGACTGCATATTGAACTGATTTTTTTTCAATTACTAGGAATGCTTTGTTACATTGCGTGCTCAGATCAGTCAAATAGACACCTACTTTGATTGGCACTACATATCGTGCAACTTATGCAACAAAAAAATAGAACCTAAAGATGGCGTCTACACCTGCAATAAGTGCGGAAAAGAATGTGACTTCCCATTGGTTAGGTATGGAAACAGTTATGAATGTACCAAATGCTTACTTTTATTCAAACACTAATTATTTATGGCACACACAGGTACAAGATACACATTAAGGTAAAAGACAACAGTGGGAAGACAACTTTGGTTCTTTTTAATGGGGTTGCGGAAAAGTTTGCTCGATACTTCGGCTTTCCAAGTTTGGTAAATCGAATGTCCAAAGGTGATACGCATGTTCCATCGCTAATTGAGAGCCTCTGCGGCAAGGATTTTGTATTCAAGCTTAAATTGACCAACTTCAATTTGAAAGAGGGGCTGGAAAATTATACGGTTACAAAAGTGTTTGTGCCGGATGAAGAATTGGAATTGCAACACCGCATTAACAAAGAAAAAAAGGTAATGTTATAATACCTATCTATTTTATACATTCATCATTGATTTCCAAAGCTAAACGTGCAACTTACATCCCTTTTAATGCTAAATATGCATTGTAAACTACAGGAAAAACTCAAAATGGAAGCGATGCAGAACTCACATGTGCAAAAGGCAGGAGGTTCACACACAAACAACTCAGAAGAACATCTGGACGACGGGGAAGGGACTTCCAATGGCAACACAAGAGTTTATGCAAGAAGGCTAATAAAGAAAAGGAAGAACTTCATACACCTCGACGGAGAAAGTGATGGAGACACCTAAAAAATAATGCACATTTAGATCCTTAGTTACAATTAAATATACTACGGACCGTAGAAGTATTATTGTAATCAACTAGCTCCTTTTTTGTTTGTCAGGGTATTATTAATTAACGAGTACATACTTGGGTGATTTAATAGCAAATGTTGTTCATATGTGGAATGATTGGGTATTATGTTTCCTCAACTCCAAGAAATATCGCACTCAAAAATGCGTCTATATTTACAATGTGTTCATGTCCACCTTCTGTTGAATATATGAAGTCTACCTTCTAATAACCAGTTAAATTTCAAATGACAATGCGAGAACCTAATGCACGTCTCTAATTTAGACAGAAACTGCGCATATAGAAAGCAAGGTTCGAGGCAAAGTACTCCATTCTTTTGCTTTTCTGTTGCCCCGTGTTGAAATAGTTTAGATTATACCTCTTGTATAGTTACCACAATGTCATTCTTACTAACCCACACTACAACACCCAAACGTACGTTAACCACAAACAGGGGTTTACAAACCTCAAAACAGACAATGTGTACTACCGCATCCCGGTGTGCTGCCAGGCATTTATATTTTTGCACAAACGAGTTGTGCAATCCAATACCTTCACCGGAATCTAACTCCACAAAATAAACACAATTCACATCGATTGAAACTAAAATGAGAACTATACTAGATAAACCCCCAATGTATTCGATAACGTAGATATAATAGAAATAAATAACACCATATACCACCAATCATTTAAAAAAAAATCACACATCACTGTTAAAGGCATATTTCCATTCAATATGAATAAGGCCTCAAACAGTGTGTCCTTTCACTTCCTTCCAGTTACTCGCTAATTATAATTAAAAAACAACGTATTCACCAATGAAATAACACACCAACCTTAATCCCCAAAACACTGCCCACTAATCAAACAATGCCGACTCCGACTAGGGGTACAACAGACGCACGAAAAAGGACACAAATAGTGTGTCGTTTCGCGTGGGTAGTACATGCCGCTTCAAATAAGAAAAAACGACCGGCATAAATAAAGTTCCAAAATGTATGTCCTTTGGCTTGCTTAGTACATGCCGCTTAAAATTTGAAAAAAAACACAACATCCAATTACACAGTACAACAAGTATTATGAATCAGATCCAACCTATTCTTACCATTGAAATAACATACCACCATTACTCCCAAAATCTCTTCCCATTACTCAAACAAAGCCGATTCGTTCTAACAATACAAATGCTACACAATAATGGGCTAAACAATGTGTCCTTTGGCTAACTATAAATATGTTGCTTGGAATTTCATAAAACACTCAACTGCCAGTTGCTCGCTACAACGACTATTACAAAAAAACACCAACCTATTCTTACTGAAATAGCTTACCACCCTTATTCCGACGATATCTGCCCATAACTCCAACAACCCCTGTGCCTTATAAGAATTCAAGTGCTCCCCGTTAATAATTCAATACCGGTCGGATTGGCAGGTAATCATAATAACAGAATATTCGATCAGACATAATGGACTTCATATCAGACATTATTAAGGCGTTTAGAAGGCCTGCTGATGTACCCGCCCATATTATGAAACTGCAACAACTTCTACCTCTTTTAGCAGTCCAAGACAGCATGTTGAAACAGAGAATAAAGAATTATACATCGTCATCAAACTCCAACCAATGGATTGTTGAAATACGAAAACTCAAAAAATTTCGGGGAAAGTATGCGCGTTTGAAGCGTAAACTCACATTACTTCAAAGGCAATACAAAGGTCACCCACTGAAGCAAGCAAAACGTGTTCTATATTACATCAAAATCTTGGAAAAGGTGGTGCACGCAACAGATATCAGAACGTCAGAAATGCATCGACAAATACATGGTAAGTTGCTATTGATCCATATATCCACTGCACAACTCCCAAGCAGATTTAACAAATTGAACTACTAACTATGTATGTTGATCCCACACCTAAACATTACAACACAGAAGGAATGAAAGACATCTCCCCATTAATCAATACTAGCACCTTACAATAGTTGCTACCGATCTTTCCCATACATTTACATTATGTGAAACTCTTCACGCCTCATTACAGTAGGAACATAAATACAACGTAATATTAGTCATGCATAATAACTTGACACAGTCTATACTTACAGATGAAACCAATATGTATTATACTGTGTAATTTTTTTTTAATAAACATCTTCTCAGGCGGACATTGTAACCAATCCAATGACTCAGTTATGGAGGAATGTCCAGACGTCTCACATGTAATACATCCGCAGATAAGTAGTAGCAGACAGGCCAGTCAGAACAGTACAGGTACAACTGTCACCCAGTCAACAACACACATAATAACATATACACATAACCCTGTATTAGGTACAGAACTTCATTATTCATGAATTCAATACTTATATTGTCTCCCACCGGACTTCTATGACAGCTGCATACAAGACAAGATTGAATTTGGGCCCGCCAACCTACACCTGTCAATACTGTCAGTCAATTATGTGGTATGAGGAACGGACAGACAAAAGTAAAAATACACGACAACCCAAATTTGCACTTTGCTGTATGGAAGGACGAATCTGTGTACCATTACTGACTCAACCACCACCGTACCTCAAATATCTATTGGGCACTGAATCCGGGAAAATGGGGATGAACTTTAGGAAAAATATCAGGGTATATAACTCCATGTTTGCATTTACATCAATGGGAGGTCGAGTTGATAGATCAATCAATCGTTCTAAGGGACCTTATGTATTCAGAATAAGTGGGCAAAATTATCATCACATAGGCTCACTATTACCAGAAATTGGAAAAAGTCCACAATTTGCACAACTCTATATATATGACACGGATAATGAGATAGAGAATAGAATCAAAAGTCTGATGCATGAAGAAGTAGAAACAGAAATCGTACAAGGAATATCTGAAATGCTAGACGAGCATAATGTTTTGGTCAAATCAATTTCGTATGGCAAGGGATAGATACAGAGAACAACCACAAGCAGAGTTTCGTATGCGCATCCTATCTGAAAGGACCCAAGATGGCCGACAATACAACAGACCAACGGCTTCTGAAGTTGCTGGATTAATCGTAGGAGACCTTACAGATGCTAACTTCCAGCGAGATGTCATTGTGGAACACCGCAAGAACGGACTGCAAAGGATCACAGATTTACACCCAAGCTTCATGTCGATGAATTACCCATTAATACATCCCTATGGGGAAGATGGATATAGGCTTGGAATACCTTTACATTCTGAGAGTCAAAAAACATACACTCGGACAACCTTGACAATGAGACAATTTTATGTATACCGCATACAACAACGCCTCAATGAGGGACACACTCTACTCCAAGCTGGCAGGCTATTGCAGCAGTACATTGTGGATGGGTACATGGCAATTGAAGAAGAGAGATTTAGGTACATCCGGAAAAATCAACAGAAATTAAGGTCTGATCTTTATGGTGGCTTAATGGACGCTATTGTACGTGGAGATTCAGATTGCTCAATGGTGGGAAAAACTATTATACTACCTTCCTCCCACACTGGAGGACCTCGCTATAGGGCACAAAATTACCAAGATGCAATGGCTATATGTCGGTGGGCTGGATACCCAGATTTGTTCCTGACTTTTACTTGCAACCCAAAGTGGCCGGAAATAAATGCAATGACGAGACTAATAAACCAAGATCCTGATGGTTGCCGGGTGGACATTATATGCCGAGTCTTCCAAATCAAGTTGTTGCAGCTAATGCGGATTCTTAAAAAAGATAAGCCTTTCGGGACAATAATTGCATGTAAGATATGACAATCAATAATCTTCAATATTGTCTTACTAAATCACACAAAATGCAATCTCAATGCTTTTAAATTACAATATAGGTACATATATATGTGCAACCAAAAACATGGAAGATTATCACAGAATGTTAAACATGTGCGCACAAGACCTAACCATAACTCCTACAAAGCTTAACTACTAAGAATTACATCACTTCTTTATGAATACAGGATATCTAGCAACCAATTCACCTAACCAACATGCTAATCACGTCCACATACTAATTTGTTTGTAGGTATATATACAATTGAGTTCCAGAAAAGAGGCTTGCCACATGCTCATATACTGCTTTTCCTTCATGAAACACAAAAAAACCCCACAACAGATCATATCGACAGAGTAATATCCGCTGAAATACCAGATTACAGAGAAGATCCAGATGGGTATAATGTCGTGAAAAACTTCATGATGCACGGACTGTGTGGAGAACAAAATCCCAGTTGCCCATGTATGAAACAAGGCAAGTGCACAAAACATTTTCCAAAGAAATACAATGGCCGAACAAATTTTGATTCAGATGGATTCCCTATTTATATGAGACGGAACACAGGTATTGAAGTCAAGAAAAATGGTGCCAGCTTAGACAACCGATATGTTGTCCCATATAACAGGAACTTGCTTGTCCAGTTTGATGCACATATAAATGTTGAAGTATGCAATTATGCGAGGTCGATCAAGTACCTATTCAAGTATGTTCATAAAGGGTCTGATAGAGCCACAACAATAATAGAATCAACCGGGACACCAATAGAAAATGATGAGATAAAAAAATACCTAGATTGCAGATACATATCAGCCACAGAAGCTTGCTGGAGGATCTATTCATTTGATATACATCACAGGCAACCGGCTGTTGAGCGCTTACCATTTCATTTACAGGGGCAGAACACAATAATATTTGAAGAATCAAGGACAGCTAAAAGCGTACTAAGCAGACCCAATTTAGAAAAAACAAAATTTACAGAATGGTTTGAGGCAAACAAAGAATACCCTGATGCAAGAGAGCTGACATATTCCAATTTTCCAACGCGTTGGGTTTGGAATGTAAGAGACAAAAAGTGGACCAGGAGGAAGAAGGGACACGCAGTTGGCAGGATTTGCTTTGCACATCCAGGAAGTGGAGAACGTTTTTACATGCGTATGCTACTAAATTTTGTCAAAGGGTGTACTTCCTTCGAAAGCATCAGAAGAATCAATGGAGTAGATCATAAAACATATAGAGAGGCCTGCTACGCTTTGGGGTTATTAGATGATGACAAAGAGTGGAACGACTGCTTGTCTGAGGCGGCCCAGTGGGCTTCTGGAAACGAGTTGCGACATCTCTTTGTTACTATACTTATGAACTGTCAGGTGTCGGATAACATTAATGCGGAATGTAGGAAATCGCCTAATCAATGAAGAGCTAGACTACGATAAAGACAAACTCCAAATACTCCATGATCAATCACTCGCTTTGTTAAATACTTGCCAACGCCCGGCATATGAGGCAATAATAGCATCAGTTGATAACGAAGAAGGAAAATTATTTTTTATACATGGCCATGGTGGTACGGGTAAGACATTTCTGTGGAATACAATTATTTCGAAGATCAGATCAGAATCAAAAATCGTTCTCCCCGTCGCTACTTCGGGTATAGCAGCTTTATTATTACCAAATGGTAGGACTGCTCATTCGCGCTTTCATATTCCTCTAGACATCACGCCAGAGTCAACATGTGAAATCAAACAAGGCAGTCAATTAGCGGAACTACTTAAAAAGACCGCTTTGATAATCTGGGATGAGGCACCAATGGCAAACAAATTGTGCTTTGAGGCATTGGACAGAACCTTGAGAGATATTCTACGAGATAGGTATGAAAATAGTGCCATGAAACCTTTTGGGGGCATAACTTTCGTATGTGGTGGTGATTTTCGCCAAATACTCCCAGTTATTCCAAAGGGAACAAGAGGTGATATTGTGGATGCAGCGCTGAACTACTCGCAGTTGTGGCCCTACTTCTCAATTTATGAATTGACGGAAAATATGAGACTTAGCTGTGGAAAAGTCGGGGGTTCTGAAGCACGGAACATAGCAAGTTTTGATAAATGGCTTTTGCAGATAGGAAATGGATCTGTTTATGCAGATAATAAGAAGGACCTCATTCATGTGCCCGCTGATGTATACATTCCAACATCGCACAATCAGATAGAATTCATTGTAGAGGCAGTATATCCGTCCCTGCTACAGAACTATAACGACCCATCCTACTTGAAAGAAAGAGCCATACTCACACCAAAAAATGAAATGGTCCATGAACTGAATGAGAAAATACTGAAGTTGATACCTGGGGAAGGAAGAACTTACTATAGCTCGGACAATGTGTGCAAAGCAAGCGTGAATACTAATGAGGAGGATATATTGTACCCAACAGAATTCCTAAACAACTTACGATTCCCAGGTATCCCAAACCATGACATTCACTTGAAAGTAGGAAGTCCGGTGATGCTGCTTAGAAATCTAAATCAAACTGAAGGCCTATGCAATGGTACAAGATTAATAATAACGCATCTGGGTATTTGGTCTGTTACTGCAAACATAATCTCTGGAAAGAACATCGGTTCAAGAGTCACAATACCAAGAATTATCATGTCACCAAACGATTCAAAGTGGCCATTCAAGCTCAACAGGCGCCAACTTCCTTTAGCACCCTGTTATGCTATGACCATCAACAAGAGCCAGGGGCAAACTCTTCAAAGAGTTGGGTTGTATCTGCCAAAACAAGTATTCACACATGGCCAATTGTATGTCGCAGTATCACGTGTAACAACAAGAGAAGGATTGGCAATTGTCAATGCGGACGAGGACACAGATGACCCTACATACATAAAAAATATTGTTTATAGGGAAATCTTCCATAACGTCGGCCCAAGAATTGGGCAAACTGAGGAGGTATTTCTTAGCAATTAACTGTTTGGTATGGCGATTATAAATATACATTACACCAAATAATGGCCTAACTAACTTCTCGCAATGACCCATGTGCAGATAAACATCCATACTAACGAGGATTCGTGATGGAGGTCGAATGCAAATGCAACACTCGCGTGTAGGCCTAACTAATAGAAGACAGACCAGTGCAGCTGCCTATGGAATTTAATAGCACAGATTACATACCTGATGAGGGCACCTATGATAGACAACCTTCACGGAAAGTGCTGATTTGAAAAGCTAAAAATAATAAATGAATGTCTTGCTTACTATTTCTACTTGCAGCACAAATATGAGTCCTCTTTTACAAACTTAATATTGAATGATTCATGTACTGTCACAAATATGTAACATTTAACTATACACACTGCATACGTAGGGGTCTTATTACATAGACAACCGTCATATATACCTTTGTATATAATGCGTATAGTTTATACACATGTACGCAGAGCCACCAACAAACAATACAACACAACAAACAATATGTAGCAACTTTGGGACTACGAAAATTACGTTTGAAAACAATGGGGGTGAAAAAAAATAGTGATTTCGTTGTAAGATTGGAGCATTGCACAGAATAGACAACTGTATTGATCAGGTAGATGCTAATGTTGGCCATGCTCCAGATGGAAAAAAAATAATATATATTACAAAACGTAGAGTTACATACAAAGACAGTCACATTACTATAACAAATGATGTCCTTACAAATATGTGACGACTTAATATAAAGACCACCAAGAAACCTCAAACGTTAAATTGCTTTAATACATTGAATGTTTGACGACGCAACATGGAATCACATTACAGCACTTAAGCCACAAGTAAAATAATGCCACAGTCTACGACACTTCCAAAAATTGACCGCATCTTCATTTACGCTTCTGCAATATATTATAGAGTCGAATAAAGCACAACTTGGACCCGCGCGAAGCGCGGGTGGATTCCCTAGTAAGGAATAAATGGAATCGAGACTCAACCAATACTAAATCTTTTTTTAAAAAATTATTTTTTTGACGGAGACTTAATTAAGCCCTAGCCGACGATAACTTCAATTTATTTTCCTAGATCAACGCCGGTGGCCATGGCCACCACGATACCGGGTCAATCCTCCCTGGAGACTGGCTAGAGTTTGTTGAAGACAGATACGAAAAAAGACTTTGTGTCACTATTTAAATCTGCTCCAAATAATACCAAACCACTACCAATGAGACCAATTTCTTATTTACATGGAGAACCAAGAATAATATGGGAAGAGGAGGAGGTTACACAGATGATCTTCAAAGAGAATCTACAATATGCGGTCATTGGAAAGTTTTCGTATGGGATGCCGGAAATCAGAGAACTAAGATCAATAATCCCTAAACAATGTGAAATGAAGGGGGAGTGCAATATTAGACTCTTGGGTAATCGACACGTACTAATAAGAGCGGCTAACATGGAGGATTATGTAAATCTATTATCAAAGCCAGCTTTTTACCTAACTCATCGCCAATGGTCCTACCCAATGAGAACCCTAAAGTGGGATCCAATGTCCGATCCAGAGGAAGAAACAACAACAGCCATTGCTTGGATATCTTTTCCATCGCTCCCACCAATTTTTTTTGTGAAAGAGGCACTCTTCTTGCTGGCTGTTGCGGTGGGGAATCCCCTACAAGTAGATATGGCAACAAAGAACCAAACACGACCTAGCTGCGCAAGGGTTAAGGTTGAGGTCGATCTATTAGGAGAATTCCCAAAAAGGATTGACATCGGAGTTCGGAAGCTATCGGGAGAAGTAGTGGAAAAATGCGTTAGGATAAAATATGACCATGTCCCAAAATACTGTACTAATTGTCGGCTGCAAGGACACAATGAGCATGAATGTTATGTTTTACATCCCGTATTATACCCTAAGAAGATGGAAGAAATAGAAAAGGAACTAGGGGACAGACAGAATGGTAGAGCAAATAGAACAGTAAGCGAAGAGAAAGAAACACAAATGGGGAATCAGAGGGAGATGGATGGGAACAAAGAGGAGTTTCAAGTTCAAAGAAATAAAAAACATCAGGGTAAGGGTAGACAACAAGTGTGGAATCCTAAACAACCACAACCACATAAGGGAGTTGAGGAGAAGATGACGACAGAAAATAAATTTGAAGCACTAGAAGATTCAGAACAAAAAGAGGCAGAGGAAAAAAGATCAAAGGAGATTATATCAACAAGGCAATGGGTTGAAAATGCGTTCAATAAACCAAATAGAGAGGATGGACAAAGAGATACAGTAGAGCGGGAAAAAGAAATTATGCATGAGACAAATCAAGAACAAAAGGATATGCCACCAGGAGATATGGGGGAGGAGTCGGCATTAACATTATGGGAACCTATTTGTGAAACAGACAATGCACAAAAGAAAGTTTTGCCACATCCGATAAGCATAATTGAACCAAACTCATAAGAGGCTCTTGTTGAAGATATGAATGCATTGACCCCGGATCAGAAAAGAAGGCGTCGGGAAGAAGAAGAGGATGAAGACTTGGAGATGAATATTCTAAGTGCAGGAAAAGCAGGGGACCTTTCTCCGAGACAAATTGCTGATTTAAATGTGGCTTCAAAAAGGGAAAAACGGGACAGTCGATTGTACCTCTACAAGTCAGAACGAGGAGAAGTGGGAAGAGGAAGGATACAATTTCTCAATGATAGGACAACTATTATTCTGGAATATCAGATCTGTTAACTCTCAACATTCATTTGAGAGAGTAATAGAGATGAATAGACGATATAATTTTGCATTTATAGCTCTCCTGGAACCTTTTCAAGATCCAGGGGAGATAGAACAGTACAAAAGAAGATTGGGCTTTGATAGAGTAGCAGTGAACTCATCTGCTAAGATATGGGTTTTTTGGAAAGATCATTGGGAAGGGCAGGTAATTGTAGATAGTTATCAACAAATTACAGTGAGATTTTGCTATCAAAGCAAGTTCTTTAGTATTACTTCTGTGTACGCAAGATGTTATGCTATAGAAAGATTGGAGTTGTGGGAGGACATATAGAGTGTGGCAGGATCAAACACAGAGCCGTGGTTGGTGGGAGGGGATTTTAACGTCATTTTCAATGCAGAAGAGAAACTAGGAGGGCTCCCTTTCACGTACAATGAGGCACGTGACTTTGCACATTGTATTAACAATTGTGCACTCATAGAATTGCAATCACTGGGAAGTCAATACATATTTAAAAAGCTTGATAGGATTTTAGTAAAACAAGAGTTTTTGGAATTGTTGCCTAGCAGTGAGGTTCAACATCTGATAAGGCAAGGGTCTGACCATGCACCATTATTAGTCCAATGTAATCCAGCGGATGTGAATGTCATCAAACCATTCAAATTTCTTAATTTTTGGACTAATCATCCTAAATATCTGGAGGTTGTGAGAGGGGCCTGGCAAATCGATTTTGTGGGAGATCCTTTTTCGGAATACCATGCTAAGATGAAGAAAGTGAAGAAGGCTCTAGCTGAATGGAGTAAAAAAACATATGGTAACATCTTTGAAAAAATGGCAACGCTAGAAGATTTGGTCAGGGTCAAAGAAATACAATTGGAAATCAATCCTAATGCAGAAAATAGATGTGAGCTAAGCAAGACAGAAGCTGAACTAAGAAAAATTTTAAACATTGAGGAAGAATATTGGAGACAAAAGGCGGGAATGAAATGGTTTAAGGATGGGGATAGAAACACAAAGTTATTTCATGCTTTTGTCAAGGGAAGACGGAAAAAGGATGCATATTGGAGAAATTGATACAGAGCAGGGGGAAGTGGTTACATCAGAAGAACAAATTGGTGCGGCAGCGGTGGAATTTTTTGAGAAACAATTCAAGGATCCAGATGTGATGATGTATACTGAGATGCTAGAGAATATCCCATGTATAATTACCCAAGAGCAAAATGAAGAGATCAGTAGGGTTCCAACCAGTGAGGAGGTGAAAATAGTAGTCAATGAGCTAAGTAGTGATAGCACTAATGTACCGGATGGTTTCTTTGGAACTTTTTTTCAGAAGAGCTGGGAGATTATTGGAGAAGATACAACTAAAATGGTTCGAGCCTTCTTTTGTGGACAAAGGCTACCAAGATTCATTACACATACGAATCTGATCCTAATCCCTAAAAAGGAGAGTGTGAAAGCCTTTGCGGATTTAAGGTCGATTAACCTTAGCATCTTTGCCAATAAAATCATATCGAGAATGCTTCATGAAAGACTGGTGAAAAATCTTCCAAGGCTGATTTCTGCAAACCAAACAGGCTTCATAAAAGAAAGAAGTATTACGGAGAATGTTTTGCTTGCACAAGAGATTATCAGAGATATCGGAATTAGGAATAAGTGGCATAATGTGGTGGTAAAACTCGATATGGCAAAGGCATATGATAGAGTATCATGGTTATTCCTTACTAAGGTTTTGAGGAAATTTGGCTTTTCGGAGAATCTCATCGACATGGTGTGGAGATTGCTATCAAACAACTGGTATTCAGTTCTAGTGAATGGTCAAGCCTATGGTTTCTTTCAATCATCAAGGGGACCTAAACAGGGAGATCCACTATCACCAACACTCTTCATTATTGCGGCAGAAGTGCTGGCCAGAGGGCTGAATAAATTACATGAAGATGCTGAATATAGGGGCTTTGGTATGCCAAAGTGGAGTCCAAACATCAATCATTTGTCATATACTGATGCTACTATTCTATTTTGTTCATGAGAGAAGAAATCGATCAAAAAAATGATGAAAGTATTGGCCAAATATGAGCAAGTATCTGGACAAATGATAAATAAGAGCAAATGTTTTTTCTATCTACATGAAAAAACACATATGGTGCTAGGACAGAAAATCAACAAATGGATAGGAATAAATCAGGGTCAGTTTCCATTCATATATTTGGGATGCCCTATTTTCTATGGTAGAAAAAAACAACTTATTATGAGGAGCTATTGGGAAAGATTATTAGAAGG